CGCTTGTGAGCACGAGGCAAAAACTCTTTAAAAAATTGAAATATGAGCGCGGAACAAGAAGAAGAGAGCATGGAATGCTTTTTAAGCCGGGGATCTCGGCGTAGCCAGCTAACAAAAAAAAATAGAGAGAGAAAAGTCTCTGGAGGAGGGTAGCTCTAGTTTATAACCAGGCGCGCTGCCCAGACGTGTAATCGTGAGAGTAAAACCAGATAGTTACTAATGTTTGCCCACGGTACGTCGCTAAACAGTGTTTAACGTGCACCGCGAAAGATAAAAATTGGCGAAGGAATGGGCGCGTCCAGTCGTTCCTCGTGACTCTCTTCCCGAATCGTCAACGAGGCACGTAGTCGCATGTTCGAAAAGCGTTCTCGCGAGCGTGCCAAAGGCTGCGCGCGCGGACGGCATTTAGCGCGAACGAGGTCTTATTGCGAGTCGACCTACTTGATTAGGGCCCTCGGATATAAAGGCGCCGCACGCAAACGACCCGCCCGGATTTTTCGCTGAACCAAGCAAATTAGCCTTTAAAGACTTCTCATTAAAAGCTTCTACTTGGCGGCCAGCTCCCAGCGAGAAATTCTCTGACGACTCGCGCGCCGAACAATTAGAATTAAGTCAGCGCGCGATACCACCGCTGCCAACATTAAAACGTCCATTACTGACTCTAGATATAGCCCGGCAATTAAACCTCGCGTGGATTTTACTTTCAGACTTGATTCGGTCGGCCGCCACCCATCCAATTTATTTGCCGTTTCCTCTTCGTCTCGCGCTGTCCCTGGATCTTTAAAATTACAGTCACATCTTTAAAAGCGACGGAGAGCAAGGCCAAGATGAAAAACGAATTGTAAACAGAAAATCTTCCTCGTAATGTATAAGAGAGTTACGCAGAACGGCGAACCTGATTGCAACTCCCATAAGGGCAATAACTGAGCAACTGGAGCCGACTATAACTAGCGCCCGTATGGGAAATAAACTTGGCTAATTCGTCTATCCGAAATACCAAGTGATTTAACACTGGGATTAAAGCATTAAAAACGTAATTCATCGCTCTAATGAAACTGCCTTCTCTATAATCCATAATCCGGACCACAAGTAATTGTTAAACAATAGCGGCGCGAAGCGGTTCGCAAGCCAAAGCCAATTCGAATGAACAAAATTGAAATGCCCGCAATTGGCCGGTCAATAATTAAAGCGCGGAGTCGCAGCAGCTATTCAGTGTACAAGCGAGGCGTAGAAGAAAAAGCACGCGAGAAATCGTCGAGGCGCCGGGCTAATTCAGGTAAACACGAGGCTTTTCAAAAAGTGCCGAGGGAAATTGTCCGCGTATCTGCGGCGAAATCTCCTGCTCGCCGCTAACTTATCTCCCTTTCCTCGGTGGCACTTTTTTTCTCTCCTCGACCACGTATACCTCACACGTAGATCGCGCTGCCAAGCGAGCGCCGTTAATTCTACGCCGAGAGAAAAAGAAAGGGGTGACTTGCCCGAGCTTGTTGTCGCTGAATGGGAAATGAATTTGGCGTGTACGAGCTCTCTGCAGGTGTGTGTGTGTGTGTGTGTGTGCTCTTGGTGGCGGCCATAAATCTGGGTGGCTTTCGGCCTACAGGCGGAAAGTAATATTAAAGGGAACAGCACGGCTGTGTCTTGCTCCGGCATTAGCCGCTACGGTCGTGACTTTTCTCTGCCTCCTTTTTTCCCTCTCCAATTTTCTTCTTGTTTTTCGCTTTTTACGCGATGCGCCGCGCCCCTGGCGTCCTACTGCTCGCTTGCTGCTGCGGCGTGTATAACGTATACGTGCGACGCGGCGAAAGCACGCTGACATAAGGAAAAGCCTACGGAACATCCTCGGCGAGCGGCAGAGAACGATAGAGAGCTCGCGGCAGTTTCCTTTCGCTTCTTTCTCGAGGACTTTATCGAGCATGTTCAATTGGATTTCCCATTGAAAACATGCTCGGCATCTCCGCAGCAGCAGCAGCAGCAGCAAGAAAAAAGGAAAAGCAGCTTTTCTCTTTGCCGTTCAACGACAAGGCACAGCTCATCAATTAAATGTACCTCGCTGCTCGCAATCCACTCCGTTTCTATCGGTGCTAATCAATAACGTTCGCGCGAACAATTTCAAATCTAGTCTTGCTTGGCAGTTGCTGTGTGGCCGTCGTTCTTTTTCTTCTTTTCTTCTTTTCCTCTTTTCCGTTTTTCCTTTTTCAATAGCCGTCGACTGATATAATCGAGACAGCGGGACATGGACTAGAAAGGGGCCAGAGCGAACGAATACCTCATTAGCGGCAGCTATAACAGTAACGGCTTGGCATCGGACCGCTGGCTTGAGTGCTGTAAGGAAGGCCGCAAGCTCAGCGCATAATAAGACGACTACTTCACCACGAGATACTATTATAAGCTCGCGCGAGAAGCAAGCTGACTGGCCGTATTCCCGTATAATTGGCTTTGTTTATACCGTCCAGGAGCGAAAGGATGGGCCGATAAGGGAGAGAGGGCTGGCGAAGAAACCGAGCTCGAGCAATTAATGAGCAATTTTTAGATCGGCGACATTATCGTAATTTTATTTGCGCGTGCGCCAGGCACCAGCCAATTTACCTTGAAAACTTGCGCGCGGGGCGAGCTTCAACTTTCTAGCACGCTATGCCGCCACGGCTGTGCATGTGCGGGCTGCTGCCGCTGCTGCCACGTTCGGCATTTCCTTGTAAATGCAAATTCGGATGCGCGCATTCACGCCTCGGCTTTGAAATCCGTGCGCGTGGCTCTGTCTGTCGGCGTGCGTGTGCGTGTACGCGGGTACAGGCGCTGGTCGCGCGCGCGTGTGTGGGTGTGCGCGCGCGCGCGGCGCTCGAAAGGCTATACTAGAATTGATCAAGTTGAGTGTTTTGTAGGCACCGCGGGAATAGGTATGCGCGAGCCCGATAAGACGCGGGACCAGAACACTGAATAAGGACGATGCTTTTACCTCTCTCGCGCAGCGCATCAAGCTCCACGTACTCCAAAGTCATTTGCTGGCTGCGCGATAGCGACACGATTGTTCAGACAGCTCTCGAGAAACTTTTAAAATGCATCGGTTCCAGTTACTGCAAAGAGAAGTTTCGAATGTGATTTCTAAATCTGAATGAACGTATCGATTCCTAATAACGGCTTCAATTCAGTTTCCATTAATCCCATCGTATCGGCGTGCAAACACGATTTGCAGAGAAACGTGTCAAGCGCGACCGAAAAAGAAACATTGATTTGTTGAGTTTGAGAGCTTGCGGCCTGCGAGTGGCAAAAGAACGACGGCGAGCGCGAAATAAAAGAAGAGCGTCGGGACAGGGGCCGCGGTGCCGCGCGTCTTTCAGTTGATCCTCGAAATTAAATGGCATCGAGAGACGAATTAGCCTCCTAACGATAAATCTGCCGGTTGGCTTTACGCTCTATACGCCGCACCGGCCTTTCCAATCCGAAGTGTGCAGCAGCAGCAGCACCGCGAGGTCCCTACTTTATCCATCACCCCTTGCGCTTCGGCCTCTCGACTTTCATCCAATTGCTTCTCTCTCTCTCTCTCTCTCTCTCTCTCTCTCTCTCTCTCTTTCTCTTTTTATTGCCGCGCTGAAAATTCTCTCTCTCTCTCTGTCTCTCTCGCTCTCTTCGCTTCGGCTCCTTACTCATCGCGTCTAAAGTTCATTGCTACATCGCTATTGCGGAATCGTTATATAGCTTTTATTTCTGCCGCTGCAACTGCGTGAGTGTATGTACGCCCTGTAAGCACGCGATATACTGCGTTGTAATCGCGAACGCGCCCTTGCAATTTCAGACAGAATAGCCACTTACTTTTGCTTTTAGAAAGGGTTTCACGACTTCGACCTCTTGAAACTCTTGCGCTCCAAAGGCGTCCTCCTCTCTCTCTCTTCTTTTCTTTCCTCTCCGCGAGCGAGTTGTCGATTCTTGTCTATTTTTATTGCTGTCTGCCGGCTTTCTTTCCAATTCGTCCTTATTTGGAAGAGAAATCGTGTATATCGTGTTGATGTCGCTGATTATTTCCCTCACAGATAATTTGCAACGAAATTATTTTGAAAGCTTGCAAAATAATGTACGGACGCAGTATCAACAATATACCGCTATGCTATTAGTTATAAGAGTTTTCGTTATTTATTAAATTTTCTTATTACCAAATAGGTCGTTAAAAGTTTAATAGGATTACTGCATTAGATAAATCCGCCAAATGTTTGAAAATTGATCCAGGTGCAATCACAGCGGCAGCATACAATTATTTTAGTCCTTCATTCAATTAAGTTATCAGTCTTCTAGCGGCAAAATATAATGGAATCATGTTGAATAAAATCACATTAACTTTTAATTAGAAGTTATCTTCTTGTGTAGTACCCGATAAAAAATGTCTTTAAATTTGAGAGAAAACGAGAATATCCAGAGTGACATTAACATCAAAAGCCACAGGATGAAATAAGTGGTTTGGAAATGCTTTTATCCAGAGAAGTATATATTGCATTTCATTTTTTACAGCAATTTAATATACTCACGAGTAATGTATCAAGAACAATCTCGGTAAGTAGAACGTGATACATTTTCCTCAAGTGCAGATAATCTTGACGACTTGACGTTTTATCTTGCTATAGCGAAACGTGTGCGGTCATAAATTTTCAGAAAAAGAAAACTTTTATCCATATATGCGCGGGTTAATTTTTTCAAAATTTACCGCATATATTTATCTTAAAGTTTTTCTAAATATTGACTGTTGAATGCCGCACAGTAGGCAAAAAATACGATCAACAGGATGGACCGTTGCCGTCAGATGTTTTTATACAGAAGCGAAGTAGAGCTTGCGAGTAGATAAAAGAGGCATATTGATAAGCCGAGCGGAAAAAGCTGTGCAAGCTCCAAGAGGAGCAGAAATATATACCCTGATAACGAAAGAGTGCAATCCGGCGCATCCAGTAGCCGCCGGAAGGTGGTCAGTAGTGCGAAAGGAAAGGGGTAAGAAAAGCAGTAAGCAAATGACGACTCACAATCTTTGCTCTTTTCAGAGGCAACGGGGCAGGACGCAAGCAGCAGCAACGCCAGCACGAGCCGCAGCAGGCCGCCGACGAGTCGCGGAGCAGTTGGCCCCCCGGGCATCGTCATGGTCACGACAGCGGTAAACAGCACACGAGCGGAGTCAGCGGGGGACGACGTCGACGACGACGACGGCGAGGGTCGCCCCCGTGGGGCCCGGGCCCCCTGGCTGTCCAGTCCCATCAGTGCATTGACCCCGAACAGCTGCTGACTCGGCGGCGGAGCCGGACTTGGCCGCGACGCTCAGACATAACCTCGCGCCGTCGCCGTCGGTTGGCGCGCGCCTCGCGCTTGCGCTCTCTCGTCGCCGACGCGTAAAAGCTCCGCGACTCCCGACACAGGCGCGGGCGACGAGCGGCACGAGCACGGCCAGACGCGATGCTGCCGAGCCGAGGGCGCGCGCGCTTTTGCCACGGCGATCCGAGAGGGACAGAGAGGGCCGCGCGCTCTAGGTGTTACCGCCTGGCCGTGTGTGCGTGCAGTGCACCGCTCTGTGACGCCGCGTATCGATCGACCCCCGCGCCGAGCCTCGGCCAAGCCCGCTTCTCGCGACAGTCCAGTGCGCCGGCGCCCGGCCGCGCGAGCCGCCTCTCTGCCTCTCGCTTTTCTCCTTCGCCTACCCGCCCGCCGCTGCTGCGCTTCATTTGCGAGCTTCGGGCTCTTTCCCTTTTTCCAAGTCCGAGCCTACTTCTTGCAACTGATTTTGCTACGGCTACCACCACACGTCAGATCGATCACGCTTTCTGGCTGCGTATGGCTGGGTCCTTGAGTCCTTTCAAGTACGGATTCGACCAGTAAACAATCGACAGCTTCCCACTTTTCTTCTTTCGATGATAGCATATTATTCTACGTTCAATTTTATTTTTCAAAAGACGTTTTTCACGCCCTGAGACGCCTTTGTCAAGTATACGTAATAAAGACGTTATTTCAAAATAAAAAATCACTTCTTTTTCCAATGATTCCAATGAATTTCCCTCTATATAAGGACAAGGGTTTTTTGACTCCTTAACCACGTCTCTTTTTGTCTATTCCCGCATTTACCTCTTCCTTTTGCCCCTTTTTGTCCCCCCTATTGTTTCTTCCGCCAACACTCGCTTGCCCGTTTTTGCCCCCTTGTGTATTTTATTTATTTTTTTTGCGTTTTTTTTTTGCCTTTAAGAAACTTTTGATCGGTTGTTTGGTATGTATTAGTGTGTATTCCAATGAACATTACATTTATAAGATGTTTTATTCAGAATTTTAAATATAACATTTTAAAAGTACGATATAAAAAGGTAAGGCAGTGCAAAACGACCAAACGTATAGTAGTATAGATAAATAAAAAAAAGTGAAAAGACGAGATTATCCTTGGTATCGACATTTTACTCTTATTGGTTTTACAGAACACGGGAAGTCAATGAAGAAAGATGTTTCTACGATGAATCGCTATATACGATTTTTTCCGGATAGTCGGTCCTGTTTGTTACATCAATCGAAAGAAAGAAACATCAATCGAAAACAAGAATGGAACAACAAAGGTGTTTATTCAAAAACCCAGATTGCCACAAGAATCTAAACAACTTGAAACTATCTGGACAACTTTGTTATATATCTAACCGTCAAAGTGTATGCTTTTAGATTTTTTCTTTTTTTTCATGCTTTCGTTAATCGTTATGCATTTTTTCGACTAAAAAACGTGCTAAGCTCTGCTGACTTTAAAATTTTAATGGTACATATTTAACAAAAAGAAGGTGAATAATAAAAAATTTCGGGCACACAAGAACATTCTGGATACAAATTTGAAATACTTTCAATCAACGTTTCTGAGTTCTTTTCACGAAAGCAGGCAAAAAATCGTAACTATATGAAAGATGTGCAAGGAACGTAAATAGATATATTTAAAAAGTTTTCATACATAAAATCTAAGTAATATAAATGAAGAAAGTCACTCTTAGAAGGCATTTGGCCAATGAAAAAGCCATATTTTTACAAAAAAGTAACTGGAAAGATCAAACAGTAACTCGCAAGTATTAAGATTTTCAGCATTTAGGAGGTTTTCTATCAATTCTTATGTTGCAAAATAAATCTTACTGTAAATGATACGGAAATTAAGATGATATCAGATATTGAGAGTTAATTTTAATGGTAAACTTGAAATTGTGCTTAAAAATTAAACGAAACATACAATTTCAATGTTATATATCATTTAAATGAAGTTTCAAAAATAAAAATATATTTCATTGCATATACCGAGGAAAGATAGCATACAAAGATCGCACAAGAAAATGGATAATAGTAACGAATTGACGAATGAATTAAATCGCGGTTGACTTGTTGGTATTGCTATAATTAAACACCCTTTGCTGATTTGCTCTCTCATTCTCTCTCTCTCTCTCTCTCTCTCTCTCTCTCTCTCTCTCTCTCTCTCTCTCTCTCTCTCTCTCTCTCTCTCACCACACACACATATACACACATTAGCAAATATGAGAATTTTTTTACCTCTTTTCCTAATGACAGTCGTAAACTGATGTAGACCCTCGAACCCTCGAAGGAGCGAACGGATAAAGTATGAGTAAATTGAAATAAAAAAGCTGGTGAAGTATCGATGTGGTCGGTTTAACTTGTGTGATATGAGACGATCGCCATAATTTTTTATGTGCGAAGAAAGACAAGGAACACAGAATTTGCTGAACCCTGAAGACACTCCACTGAACCAACAACCAAGGAGATAAAGATATACGAATATGCTAAAACCTGAATCACAAGATGTTAATTTCGAAAATAGCAAAATTCGTATGACTCGGCTGCCGGCCAAAACACAAGCATAGAGCGGAAGAGAGGAAATTGGGGAAAGCCGAGCGAGATAGAGAGAGAGAGAGAGAGAGAGAGAGCGAGCGAGCGATGATGTCAAAGCGTCAACTGTAAGCGGTAAGTCATAGGTGACTCTATGATAGGTAGAGAAAATAGGGATGAAGTATTAGTGGATAACTCGTAAAGGAAAATTAAACCAGATTGAATTGGATTTTGAAAACCGCTTGAATTTCTGACCGTGACAGCTTAAAAATACTGTATAGATTTACGCAGCGTGCTCAATTAATATTTAAATTGAAACGATAAGATTTTACGTATGCGCAATTTTATTATTTTCGCGAAAACGTAAATGTATTGTTGCGAATTCATGAAATTCATACGTATTTTATGAAATAAATTGACGTCAATGTCAGGGCTTCTCAAATAAATTATGTGATGAAAAATTAGAAGTTAAACGAAATCAATTGCCTTTTTATCCTTTACAAAAAATCGAATGGGCATATTTTATAGTACATTACCTTACTAGTGCGGCAAAATAGATGCTTGTCTCGTGTGAGATTTACGCCTGAGTGAAACGACAGTGGAAAGATACTAAAGATACAGGAGACGAGAATGTTTTTCTTGAACATGTTAGCTGTGAGTTTTTTTCAAAATAACGCGTGGAAAGCGCCAATTTGAGCTGACGTTTCCTGCTGAGCGTGCGGCAAAGTCGCACTTCCTACATGGCGTGTTGAAAATTCAATTTATATCAGTTCACTCTATGTCAAATCGGTATTTCGCTCTTTTTTTCAACGACCTACAGGCGTTGATATGTTTTGCGTATATTAGAGAAATTCTACTCACAGATTATGCAAACATTTTAGGCTTGCTCGAGATTGCATATTATCTCAGCGTAGATCTTGTCAAATAATTTGGCATCAACTTTAAAACAGAAAATCTGAAAGAAAAGGATGCATATCGCGCCTATCAGTTCGCAACTATTACTGAACATCTTATACTGAAATATGTAACGAAATAAACTGTTTTCGCACTTTTTTGAAAAATGTTCGAAAATATAATAGATTACCTCGATTTCAATGGTGAAAGTTTAAAAAACAATTTAAGTGATATCGATATCGTTTCGCAGTCCTCTTCCTGTGTAGACGTATGACTAAACTTTCTCTGAAATCCGACCGACTTCTAACAAACGTATGCTACAAATTTTCCTAAAACAGTACAAATGAAACAAACATTCACAAGTCAAATAAATATAATAAAACTAGCTAATATCGCTACCATAAAATAATGTGGATAGATAATACCAGTTATATATAAGTAATTCAGAAAAATTAATGATGAATCAGGATAAGAAAAATATCGTTTTTTAAAGATTTCCAATGAAATAAAATAAAACATATAAGGTGGTTAAAAAAGCATGCATCCGTCGCTCAATACTGATGAATTGAAAAAAATAATTGAAACGTATAACCATAACGTCATTAAGGTTTCAAATATTAAATATAGAATAACCAAAGATTTTTATCAATATTCTTCATTGAATTGAAAACTGGTTAAAACGAAATCGATAAATTTTTGAATCAAATTATTAGTGTAAAACCAGCGCGTAAAAAAAGAGATATTCCCAATAAATGTATTACTTAGAATACGGTCACACAAAAAACTTCTGTTATAAAACTCCTGGTTATGTGAAATGCGCAAAAAAATAATTTTACACCAAACTATTCAATTTAAACGAAAATAAAAGAAAACTAATGTACAAGCTGTGGAGAAAATCATATGGCTATTTATTAAGGATGAAGTGCCAGACAACTCCTTCAACAAAAATTATTTCCAGCACTACGATCAAAACAAATAACAAGTACAGAAAATGCCGATAGGCGAATAAATACGTATGCCTATAAAACTGAACAAGAGCTCAAATAAACACAGACTCAGCCATCAATAGTAAACAACAACAATAACAATCAATTGGAAAACGTGATGACTCAGCTGATGAACAAAATGAATACAATGCTTAATCCGCTCATCACATTTATAAAAAGACCGATTGAATAATAGTAGTGGAAATACTAAAATTAAGCTAACGATTTGAAACGTTAATGCCTTAGAGCAAAGTGGCCTGAATTAAACCCATTTTTTGTAGAAAAAAACATTGATTCAGTGCTAATATCTGATACACACTTCATTCATAAAAACTTTTGAAAATTCCACAATACTCTATATATAGTACAAATTATACGGCAAGCATAATCAAAAACACCATGAAACATTACGAAATTGAAGCACATAAATATAATTACCTACATGCTACAATTGAAGATAAAAATAGCTCGATTATAGTTTTAACCATATGCTAGCCGTCTTACAAAACATACTATCAACGAAGAGTATTATAAAAAATATTTTGATAGTTTGGGAATCAAAATCAAAATCAAAAAGTGCGAAACTTTACGCAATAATGCAAACATAAAATTTGACGTTATCGACCGGCTAATCCACATATTGGCCCTCCGATACTAATAAATAACTTGATCTGACAGACTTTGTCATTATTATCATTATTATGTCCAAAACGTCTAAATGGCAAATCATGCCTCGACTTAACCTCGGACCTTCCCTCAATCATAATAAATCGTGATTCAATAATTAAATCTGATAAAAATAATAAACCCCTATACAAAATAAAACATTTACATATATTCTTACAAACAATAAAAATTGTTTGTAAG